ACACTCAGTCCTAAATGAGATTTTTTTTAATCAAACCACTCCCCTCAGGGCTCCAGAAACCCTGCAGAAGAGGAGGCAGAAAGATTGTAAGAGCCAGAGGGGATGGATGACACCAGACACAACAGGACTGACGTATACATGACGTACATACTACTCACAGAGACTGTGGTAGCATGTGTAGGCTCTGTACATGTCCTAGCAACATGGGGTCCTACCGCTGAGAGGGAAGGTAGACACAAGTCCCCAAGAAGCTATCTCCAATTGACATATACTTGGGCAAAGGAAAAAAATTAGTTTTCTCCATTGGAGTCTCACTGGGTATACAAACCACACTGAAGGTCAGGCTCCATTCAACAGTAGATGGCCAGCACAAAATGAACTCTGCTGTTTCTTGGAGATTTTTGTCTCCTATTGCTTTGTTTGAGAATTTTTTTACTTTACTGATCTTTTGCTTGTGTATTATGGTTTCTGTTTTTGTGGATTTATGGTGTGTGTGTGTGTGTGTGTGTGAGTGTGTGTGTGTGTGTGTGTGTGAGTGCGTGTGTGTGAGTGCGTGTGTGCGTGTGTGTGCGTGTGAGTGTGTTGTGCGTGTGTGTGTGCGTGTGTGTATGTGTGTGCGTGCGTGCGTGCATGCGTGTGCGTGCATGCGTGCGTGTGTGTGTGTGTGTGTGTGTGTGTGTGCGTGCCTGTTTCTTGTGCTTTTCTTTATTGCTTATTCTAGTTTGTTTGATTTGACTTTTTGTTTTCTAAGGAAAGAAAAAGAAGGTGTTGGTGTTGCATGGGTGGGAGGTGAGGGGTTCTGGCATGAGATGAGGTAAGGAAACTGTGATCAGATACATTGAATGACAAAATTATTTTCAATAAAAGTGATGACTAACCAAGCAAGCAAACATAAGGTGGTTTTATGCAGTAGACCCAGAGTTCCAACACACCTTAGTAGCATTTTCAGATCTGTAGGGACAGATGAGACATTTGTAGAATGGAATCTCTAGATGGCAGACCTAGGGAGAAACAAGACTCTAATTCAAACAGAAAGTCTTTGGAGTTTTATGTCCTCAAATTTTTTATCTCTCAAAAACACTGTGTCTACTTGATCATCCAAGGTGTTGGTCTAAAAAATATTCTTTCTAGAAACTTCAGGGGATAGTGAGAGATTTTTGTTGTTGTTTGGTTGTTTGGTTGGTTAATTGACATTACCACAGTTACAGAAACCCCAGCATTTCTTATAGGTCATTGTGCACCTTGCTGCATTCCTTTAGGAAGCCCATGTGTTTCACTAATGGAGGTTACAAATCCATAGGTGGGACTGCTATATGTCCAGTTAGTGACATTTTACAGAAAATGTACATGTGTTATGGCACAGGAATTATCCTAAGTAGAACTTGTCCCTTTTAAGACCATGAATTGTAAACTGTTTCTAGCGAGTCATGTAACAATCCTTTTCATTTTGACCTATATATAAAAAGCAATGTTGATTCCTTCCCTGGGCAATTCTGTTAGCATTCATTCTGGAATATCTAGATTAGATCCAGTAGCTGTTGCCACACAGCTTTTCAATTCCTGTCTGAATGTCACCTAAAATTAAAGGTGAACTAACTTATTTCAGACACTGGAGTTAAAAGGATACGGTGCTATATTGGACTTCACATTTCCCCTCTATAAAACCAACCCTGACATTTCATCTATTTTTAAACATGAACTCACATTACCTGGTTTTGCCTTTGTAACTTACTTTAAACACCGCCTTGCTTGCCTTCCAGACTATAAGCTTAGCCTTGTCCTTTGGCCAAAAGCAATAAAATGAGACCCATTTTACCATGATTCAGCTAAGTGTGATCAGCATTTTCTTGGCACATTATAACATTGATGGTTATTTTATGACATTTCCCTAAGCTGCCTCCCGAAGTGTAGTGAAGGTTCGTTTTGTTTTTACATCAAATTCTATTGGTATTTAATGCCTCGAGCACACTCCATTAGTGGATTTTGCACTTAAGGCCAGATAATCAAATATTCTTGACTTTTTTTTTAACCCCATATTGAATTTACAGAGCAGCGGATGAACTTCCCAGGTGTTCATCTATAAATAAGCCCTGCTGCTTGTAAATGTCCCCTCCACCACTTGCCTTGTATTCCTATCAGACCAAAAATATCAGTGTGCTGGTTTACCTCATATTGAATTTCCTGACTGTATTGCTGTTCTTTTGGGGGAAAAAAGAAAATCTAACAAACAAAACAAAAAACCAAATGCTCATATGCTTTTCTCCATTTCTCATGAAGAAACCAGTATTGACCCTAAAGAGCTGTTACTGTCTTCTATATGTCTTTTATGAGGGTGGTTTTTCTGGATTTGTCTCCTCGGGGATGATCTCCATTCTCAATCGCTTGTGATTAGACATCGCTGTCATTGGACAACACCCCTTGCTCTCTGCATATTGTGCTTTGGGTAATTCTGTGAAACGTCTGTAGTTTCCTGTCATTTATAAAGATATTCCTCTTGGAAGCTGGGCGTGGTGAATAAACCCCACCACTGCAGCGCTTGAGCTGTGGAAGCAGGCAGTTCAAGGCCAGTCTCAGTCTCACGGTGGATTTAGCCAGCCTGGGCTACCAGGCCCTTTCTCATAACGCCCTCCCTCTTAAAAAGATATTCTTCTTAGGGTTGAGGCCAGATTAGTGGTAGAGCATTAACCACACTCCACACACGAGGCCCTGGGTTCCATAAAATGAATTCCCTTCTATCATCCAAGTGTACTGCCTTGTCGCCGGCACGTGGTGGCTGGTCTGTGAATCCCCTTCCACTGTTGTACAGTGGTCATCTTTCTTGTTTATTAATCTGTATTTAAAGTGTTTTGTGAGGTTATGAAGCATGGTGGTGGATATTGATGGAGTACAGTGTGAGGTATTGAAGCTCTTCCTGCCTTCTGATAACACACAATATCTCTCTATATAAATATCTGTAGAATAATTGCTATAGTGATGTGGTATTCCTTGGAAACTGGGCTCCAGCATGCTCTGTTTGGGATTCTGGCATCTTATTTAAATCAAACAAACAAGTGCCTTACTTTTCTTTCTTCATACTAGATTGGATGAAGAGGCTTCTGTTAAACTACCATTTTTCAGCATGTGTATTTTGGGTTCAGTTCTGATCATTAAATATCAGCTTAGAAAACTGTTCTTTCTAAGATCTTCACATTGATCCCTCAAAATACTTTTCTGTACTCTTCATTTTTAAATCTTTTCCATGTCTAGGGTGCATTCCTTGAGTAATTCTCATGCTTGGTTTTAAGGCTACATTTTCAAATTATAAGTCTGCGTGGCTTTACAATTTGCAAAGAAGCAGCTTTTAATTTTAACTAACTAAATTGTGCATTCTTTCTTATATATGTATACATGCACACATGGTTCTTTTCTAGCTTAACTGAAACTAAATATTTAATGCCTTTCCTTGTTTTCTCTAATTTAAAAGTAAAAGTCACCAATTACTTGAGTCACAAATAAAATGTCTTTGTTTTGACTCCCCACATATGAAATAAAATTGAGCTACCCGTTTTTCATTTTTAATGATGTGAGCTAGGATTTCATCTTTAGGTGAACTGAATATTATAATAAATATTTTACTGAGTGGATTTTTTAGAGGTTTTACAAGTTTGCACCTTTTTGGACTGTCCTAACAATTGCCATTCTTCGTCCCCACGAGCTGTTACTCAGAAAGTACTTTTTGACCCTTTCATCAGTCACCTAGAATCATTTCTAGCATGTGCATAAAGACACAGAGATGGGAGACTAGAGAAATGGCTCAGTGGTTTAAGAACCCTGGCTTTTGTTCCTGAAGATCCAGGTTCAATTCCCCACACCCACATGGTGGTTCAGAACCTCTGTTAACTCCAGTTTAAGGAGATATGATGCCCTCTTCTGGCCTCTTCAGGCACTGCACACACATGGTGCACATAATACACTCAGGCAAAATACCCATACACAACACACACACACAGATACACACACACACACACACACACACATACACATACACACACTCACAATTGGTAAGTTTCTAAGTATATTTGCCCTTCTTTTAAAAACTGACAGCACTTGAACAGAGTACATACATTGAAACTTCAAACACTGCAGTGTCTAAGATTCCTCTTTTCCAAACATAGTGAAGAGGAAAAAATTCCACAAATTCAAATCTTCCAGAGGTAAACTGGAAGATTCCACCTTCTAACTGCCTCACAGAGGCAGAAGCCGAGAAGGACTTGTGGATAGAGACATGGAGAGAAACTGAAGGGGACGTTGGCCATGGCCTTGGAGGTTGGGTCTTAGGGATGCTGTAATTGAGTCTGGCTGACACCTCCCTCCCCCCCCAACCCGCTTCTCTACTTTATGACCTCAGGTTCATCTTTCCTCAGTCAGTGGAAGTATTCCCTGGTTCCTGGAAAATGGTTGGAACCCTTTGCTTTCAGAACTGTGAAAAGTTCAAGTCTTGAATGTTTCTGAGCCAAGTTAAAAAAAATCAAAAAGTGGGCATCAGTAATTTTTCAGTACAACATCCTTTAAGATTTGTGGGTTTTTGTTTTTATGATTACTTTAGAATTGTGATGTTTTCCTGGTAAACTCTGGCCTTTTGGCAGATAATCTTCACTTGTTGCTTCAAGTTAGCTCTGGTATCTCATCCATGCTCCACTGAAAGTGTTCCGGGGCCGAGGGGATGGCCCAGTGTGTAAGAGCACGTGTACAAGTGTACAAGAGCAAGGACCTGAGTTCAAATCTCCAGCACCCATGTGAAAAGCCAGGTACTGCCCGTGTGCCTGTGATATCAATCAGAGCTGCTGGATTTCTCCTTTAAAACAGTGTCATGGAGAGTGTTAGGGCGGAACACCAGTGTCCCCCTCTGACCTCTATCCCTGTGCACATATAACTAAACGTGCAAACTAAGAAAATAAATATAGTCCTTTAAAAATGGCATTTTTAGTAAAATCTATTTACCTTTTGTGTTTCTGCTGTAGGTGAGGACTGACAGCAGGAGTTGCTGGTGAACACATCAGAAAAGTGAACATCAACTTTCAAAGTAAGTTGTTTCCATTTTTCTTACTTTCCTGTTCCGTGGGGGTTTCTTGTTTGTTTGTTTTCTTTTTTGACTACTTGACTGTGAAATGTATGTAAAAAAGGTTAATGTGTTTATAATCTATGTATATTAGCTTTTTATATATTTTATATGAATATACACTGAAGCCAATACGTTTTAATTTTAAAGTAGGTTTTTTTAAAAAAAACACTGTTCTGAAATAGCGATTAACTCTTTTTCTGGAATTACAAGTGTTGTTAGCAAAGTATGTGAAGTAGAAGACTGCTTGCTTCCCGATAATACCCTCAGGGTAAACACGGGGGCAGAAAGAATCTGTCCTAGCCTGACCTGCTTCTTCCGGTTAGCCTGCTACAAGCTAATGAGTTAGAGTTCCTTTTAAACGCTTGTCATTGACCAAACTTCTATTTGTCCCTTTTGGCTCCTTTTCCTGAAGCATTAAAAGTCCTGCTCCATGTAGTGATGGTACCGGAATGCTGCGGTGATACAGGGCAGGGACGTGCATGTTAGGTCCAGGTACCTGCTTGACTGTTCCTCTCCAAACTGTTGGGGCATACCAGACTGACCACAGCTGAGGCTGTTTGTCAAGTGATGAGCCCTGCTCAATCCCATATCAAAATTTCATAAAGTGATAGGGATGTATGAGGAACTCCGTTGGGTAAGCACAAGGTTCTCACTTGTGTGTGTGTGTGTGTGTGTGTGTATGTGTGTGTTTTTTTTTTTTTTTTTTTTTTTTTTTGGTTTTACAAGACAGGGTTTCTCTGTTTTGGAGGCTGTCGGTCCAGCCTGGCCTCAAACTCACAGAGATCCGCCTGCCTCTGCCTCCCGAGTGCTGGGATTAAAGGCGTGCGCCACCAACGCCTGGCGTGTGTGTGTGTGTGTGTGTGTGTGTGTGTGTGTGTGTGTGTGTGTTTATACTTACAATTTTATAACAAAATGGAAAAAGTAAAAGCTGAAGCCTGAGGATGGTTTAGAGTAGTGGTTCTCAACCTTCCTAATACTGATCCTTTAATACAGTTCCTTATGGTGTGGTGACCTCCAACCATGAAATTATTTTCATTGCTATTTCATAACTGTAATTTCGCTACTGTTATGGATCGTAATGGAAATAATTGTATTTTTTCCGATGGTCTTAGGCAACTCCCGTGAAAGGGTCACGACCCACGGGTTGAGAACCACTGGGTTAGCACTTCATACCTCAACCCACAAAATAATAATGCTTTGCTGGAGTCATAAATGTTTGATTGCTGAGCTATTCTGGAAGAATTCAATGTTGTCGCAAAGACCAACTTTCAATGAAGTCAAGATGCCCCAGCCTGCACCAGAACTCATAGGAGTTCATTTAACTGACGAGACAATGGCTTGCCCCTGCAGGCTTCTCTGCTAAGAAAAGTGGTTCAAAGCTGGTTTACCCACTAAGCACAGTGCCCAGTAGTGGCCTATGAAAATATTTTAATATTTTCCAAGTATAAGAAAAATATAAATATATTAATGAGTATGTAATATTGAATCTGAATAATATTTATCTTGATACCAACATAGTTAAGATACATAATTTTAATAATTTTTCATGAAGGAAAGAACACAAGGACCCACACTCACAGGAGCCATGTGTCCCCACCTGAGTCACAGTCAGACACTCAACGCGCTTGTAAGAGTTGGTCATGTGTGGTTTTGTTTGACATGTAATAGACATTTCTTTTCTAAAAAGGATTTGTTATTTATGTGCATGTGCGTGCCCATGTGGGTTTACATGCACCATGTGCATTCAGGTACATGTGGAGGCCAAAGGAGGGGCAATTCTGCTGTAACTAGAGCCACAGGGGGTTGGGAGCCACCTGATGTAGGTGCTGGGAACTGAACCCAGGTCCTCTCCAAAAACAGTGAGCATTCTTTACTGCTGAACCATCTCTCCAGCCTCTTTTTCTTCTCCTCCTCCTTCTTTCCTTTTTAAGGAAAGGATTATGTTCTTTGAAAATGAACCTATACATTTGTTTCTTAGAGTGATGCATGGCTATATCTTCAAAGAAAGAAAAAAAATGACATATTGCTACATTAGATGGTTATGATTATTCAGTCAGTTTTCCTAATAGTCAAATAAGTATTTTCCCTTCTGGACACCCATAGATATCCTGTTTCCTCTGTGATATGATACAGACAATAAGAAAAGAGAATGAGACTTGACTCTGGTTCCTTTGGTCCCACTTAGCTAGATGTCACTGAAGGCTTGTGCTCCTTGGGAACTGTGGTCTACTGTGACTCCTTGACACCATTCAGGGGAAGGGAGCCCTGAGCTGCATTTCTGGTGAGTGTCTGTGACTCATCTGGTTTCATTTATTTCAAAGCCAATAGTTTTGCACAAAATATTTTTGTTGGTATTCAACACTGGTGACTATCAGTGATGCAGAGACCTCCTCAGAGCTTCTTGTTGACTCAAAGTAAGTTTATTGTCTGTCTGGGGATCTTCTTTTCAACATTCAACTCCCAGAAGACCGGGTCTTTATATGTTATGCTGACTGATCTAGACCTTAGGGGAAAACAGACGCATTAGAGAAGCTCAAATACTTCCTGGAAGAATGAGATAATTTCCTCCTTTAGAAGAGAAATAGCCTGCTGTTGAGCTGGGTAGGGAAGAGCACTGTTCAACCTTTGTTCTCCAGTACCAAAAAGCTTTGGCAGGCATGCAGAAGTGTTTGTGGTCCCTTGATAAAGAACAAGAGCTTGAAAACCAGGGACTTACAAGACACAGTGCTGTCCACTTGAGGGCGGCACTTATGTCAGCTTGTTCTGTCTGACAATGCCAGTGGTTGCTACTTCCATAGACCAAGCAAGAATGGCAAGAAAATTATAGACAGAGGCGTTGCCTCTTCCTAGCTACTGAAGACCTAACAAGAAAACTGACCATGGTTAGCAAGATTAGGTTAGACAATGCTAACCTACAGAGACTTCAAATATCAGAGAAGGATAGGTCTGCTGTACAAACTTGGGGCTTGTTCTCTTGAGAACAACCAGAAATACATGGTCTTTCTGTTGGTTGGCATGATGTGTGTATGTGTTCAGTTTGAAGACTATATTTTTTTCAGATACCACAAAAATAGTCCTAAATGAAAGCATCTCTGTACATTATTTCCTGTGCCTTCTTGTTTAGGGTTTCCCCACCCTAGACCTTTGATGAAATGACATCGGAGTGGAGATGCTGCAAGAGCATAGGGTTAAAGGGTAGCCTAAGGAACAAAGCGTGCCTGTTACTGTCACAAATCCACACCAGGCATCTTGATCTTCCCTCTTCTGCTGGTGTTTTCTGAGCCCCTTATACTATTGAGTTGAGTAACAGGCCAGAGAACTCCTTTTCAGCAAAGATGCCAAAGATAGTTAAGATTAAGCACAGTTGTGACTGTGATCCACAGTGCCCATGATCCTGTCATGCACTGGGCCCCTCCCTGAAGCATCACTGCAGCTTTTTTCCATCCTTGTATAAGGTGTTCCTCCATCATGAGAAGGAGGACACTCACTGATCTCACCCCAGGTCAGTTGCTGTCACTGTGGTACCCCAGAAGCAAATAGTCCTGCAGCTGAAGAGTTTGCAGGATTAGAATTGTAGCTTTTTACCCCTAAGATTTACACACAATTCGGTGAAGGTATTCTGGGGAGAAAAATAAACCCGACATTACTGCTTGATCTTGTAGGTGACCTTGCTACTGTGTCACAGGGCCCTGTAAGTATCTGGCTCAGGGTTGATTGATTTGTCGGAAGTTAGCTAATAAAACAATAATCAGTGTCTACATCATTAATGATTCATATGATGAATAAGTAACTCATTGTATCAGACTAGACACTGCCGATACAACCATCCTGTGGAATTCTTGGCAGAGGGTTAGAGAACAAGAATCAGAATGCAGTGTGGGCGACCTTAAAAAGCCACTGAAGCACTTTCCTTCAGTCTCTCCCATTGCAAAATCTTCCGACTTTCTCTTGGCCTGGCCTGGCAGCACTGTGATGATAATTGTCAAGCATATGTATACATATGTATATGTATAAATACATATATTTATATGTAGTGATGATTTAAATGTGTGTGTGTGTGATGCTACATATATAAAGCAATACACTGCGTAAATGTGGTAGCTACAGACTTAACATCCTTCAGACGATATCCAGGTTTGGCTTTACCTACACAGTGGACATCTCTGTCTTTAACATGCGTCTGTTGGAAGTTTGCCTGCATAAGCTGGGGTAGAGAGCACACACTCTTGAGCCTTCCCCATTGTAGACTCTTGAGTTATGGCTGGCAAAAGGTACAAGGAGGGTGCTAAACATTCTTTACAGAAACAAAACCTAAGTTTAAAACTGAGACTTACAGTTTAACTTTCTTCACTCTGTTGGGCTTTAAATTTACTTGGATGAGTATTCGCTTTTTGTTGTCCATTTCTATCCCTTGAGACATTTGTCTTATACTTGTCATTGTTCTTGGGGAAGCAAGTCATCCATTAGAAGTTTTTCTCAAATGCTTGAGACTTCAGGGTATGGCTCAGTGGTAGCACATATGGCTGGCATGCACAAGGCCCCAAGTTTGAACCCCAGCAACACCAAAAACAAAACACTTGTCTTCCCATGCGGGGATGTCCTATGAGATGCTAATGCCTCTTTCTGTCCCTTGCTTTCAGAATCCGGAATTATGGTGATAGGTTTTTAAGCAAACCAAGCTAGGGATGTGGGGGGGGTGGATGATGTCACAGTCTGATGAGTGAAATGTGGGTTAAAATCAATCCCTTTTCCTGCTACAGAGACGCTCTGAACCCCATGTGTTAAACGGGGAAGTATTTATTATAGGAAAGGTTTCCCAGAATTCCTTAGTCCAGGAACTTCTCTCTCACAGCTCCTCCATTTAACCCATTGCTATGCTGCTCCAAGGAAGTGGCTTCCTGAGTGAAATTCAAGGTCAAGCTTGAAGCTGACCCAGAAGCAGGCTCCAGGAAGAAACGCAACTAAATCAAAGCTGTGACGGTGGGGAATGGGCATTTGGATTACAAAGCTCTACCCAGCTGTTCCCTTACTTCTCTACCTGGATAACCACGGGCAGAGCCCAGCCCTTTATCTAAGACTGACATTATGCTCCATAAGTAAAATGTGAGGGGCGTCTGGAAGCATTTAGCTAAGCCCCTGGCTTTAGTAGCTGTGAAGGGTGGCATTCAGCCACTTCAGACTCTAAGAGCGAGCATCTGAAATTGAACTTCCTCCAGTCTGATGCCATTTCAAAAAAAAAACAACTGATTTCTTCAGCACCTAGGTAGAAATGGCATAGAATTACTTGGCATAAGTTGTTATGGGTTCCATGTTAGAAGTGACCTGCTTTACAATGGTAAATTCCTTCTTGGTATTAAACACCAGGTTGAGTATGAGAAAGATCCAAAGGCAAGAGTGACATCTTCCATCCTTGGTGAGCTTAGAAAGTGAATCTGGGAAAAGCGCCCATGACCACATGTGACGTTTCTGTGGAGCAGTGTGTGGTGGTTGTGTGATAAAAGAAATTAGAGATTAATACAAAAAGTAGAATAAATGAAAAAGTAGCATCAAAGGTGTTGGAAAAGGACCAAACAGTCTCCACGTATAGTTGATTACTCATAAATATGCTTATGTCTCTGAGAAGGAAGCTGCTTTTTTGTTGGTCTGCACAGAACTGTGGATTAAGTCAAAACTGTTTTATTCTTATTCCAAACATTGAGATCCTTCTCCATTTTACTTGTCATTCAAAAAAGAAAACAAAACCATTTAGGGCTCACCTTGTATTAGTGGATTGTGGATTTTCTTCCTTTCATTTATTTTCCCTCAATGCACTGCAAATAAGTGTGCTACTCACTTGGCTTTAGCTAGATGCATGGCCACTGTGTTATAGAAAACCAGAGAGAATGTCATAGCTCTGCTCTACATGGGTTGGCGGTGGTCATTGGAAATTTCCTGTTTTTTGACATCTGCAAATGATAGTGACCTTGCATAGACCTGCTAAGACCTTGATGAATAGGCTCACTAACAGGCATGGAAAGGTCATCACCTCCAATGTCAAAAGACCAGATGCATTCCCTGGTACTCAGTACTCTCGGTAGCTGGAGATAACAAATGAATCCAGGCCTCCAACAATTAGCTGCAATATCTGAAAACTTTGTGGACCCACTGGGCCAGATCCCCCCCCGTTATAAAAGTCAATAAAAACAAAATTACCAGACATGCCTTGAGGGAATCAAAGCCTGTGATTTGGGCTGAACAAAAGCCAACATCACCACCACTGCCATGTCCTTTCTTTTCTCATTTGAGAGCCTAGCTACCCCTTTCCAGTGTCCCCGGGGCACAGCTTTTAGGAATCTGTGACTTGTTCCTTTCACTGCCTTGTGTTCCCTGAGTGATGGGGGGGGGGGAAGTCTGTGCTGGAGGAAGGTTAAATGGCTGGTACGGCCTTGGTAGAGTTAAAGCAAGGCAGTACAGCCATCATTGTGGTCTAAGTTCAAAAGATGAGGGGTTGCAATTGATCCCAAGCCTGTATTGAGTCAACTATTTTCTTTTAATATTCTTTGTTTCTTTAAAATGTAGGGTTTGGTTTCATCAAATGTTGTAACTTCATATGTATGCCTTTGATTCAAGAAGCATGGTCATTCAGAGGGGAGTGGAGTTTAGTCATTTTCCAGGTTCTCAAGGGATGGAATATCAGAGCAACCGCTTCTAGCCAAACCTTCACCAAATCGTGTTTCTCTGGTTTCCGGTTTCTCCCTAATCCCCTGGTTAGTTTCTAAATCATTTCCTGGTATTTTTCACTGGAGATTCCCCCAGAAACTTCTGGGATCATGTCTTCTTCCCGCTGCCAAAATCCCCTGCTCTATTGTTGCAGGGAATGAAGACAGTTTGCAAAGGCACCTTATTCAAAGCCAAAGGTGGGCCTCCTCTCTCCCTGCCTTCTCACCCCTCCTCCCCGCCCTTAGTGCCAGCTTTCTCACCTGTTCTCCTTAGATTTACCTCCTCATCCTCCTCACCCTAAGGTTCCCATTTCCACTGCCTTCATAAAGGATAAAAATGAGCATTTAACCACTCAATGCAAGCTACACACTGTATGTGCTATCTGAGTCACGAAGCCTTGCAACAATTAGTCACTAATTGAATGATTACAGGGTAGGAGATGGAAGATTTTTCAGAAATGCAAGGAAACAGTCTAAAATCAAGAGTGAGTATGTAAGTATGTGAATGCATGTGTGAGTGTAAGTATGTGTAGGAATGAGTGTGAGCAAGTGTGTGTGTGTACATATGAATGTGTGAGTGTGT